TACCTCATAAAACGCTCAGTTTTAGTGGAATTGCTGGAAACACAGACTAGACGTCTGATCGAAAATGGGAATCATACTAATTGATGTTATCAGTGTCCCGGATACACATTATTCTTTTTACAAACCTGTTTACAATCCCTTTAAGAGCACAACTACTTACTGTTCCTCCATAATGCATGATAGATTGATAATCATACTGAACACTATGACTGTTTATAACGTTCCAACTGTACATTCTGAAATCAGCCGCTGTATTATCCATAGCATTCTCCTGTTTTATAACCACATAGTCATTTCTATCTGGTCTCTGGTGTTCATGGATCATACCAATCGCGTGACCCAATTCATGCACTATTATTTGTTGTTTCTGAAATTAAGTGAAATAGAATTTTACGTCCTACTTTATGGGTCAATGAAGACTTGATCAGGTTTGAAATGAAAACAGAACAAATGGAATGAAATTGACCGTCTAAAGCCTGTTATAGCTTCATACGGACTTTTTTTTTTATCGCAGCTTAAATGATAAAGGTAATATCTGAATAAAAATTGCTCAACATTTTAGATTTATACGTAAAAGACTATATCATTTCAAACAAGCTACACATACTTAAACTGTTCTTGGAGCAATAGTAGTAATCTGCCAGAAAGCGCAGAACAGGATAGCCATCGATACATGAAACATGTTCATTTCGTTTGCGACGAATAAGACAACACAATTATAGTAAGGATAAACAAGAAGACATACCTTTCTGCAATTAGGATGAAGAGTTAATTCTTGAGCTCCACCAATCATTCCAACATGAGAACTACAACTAAAAAACATATTTACATGTATACATGTACATTTACTATATTATACAACACAAGACAATACAGGACATTGTGCAACGTCATGCGGATGGTGTCACTTCAAATTCTACACCCGTGAATGTAGAAGAATTTAGTGATGACGATGACGAAGAATCAAAGATAAAGACATTCGCACAATGTTTGAGGCAATTGGATGACTTTAGAAAGTATCTAGGCGGCAAAGTCGCTTCATGTGACAAGATACTAACGGATCTAGAAGATCGGGTGCATCAACATTCTGTTCTGATAAAAACTACAAATTCGGTTCAAAGTACATTATCTAATTATTTTAATATGCCTGTTAATGAATCAAATGAATAAATGTTTGAATTGAATTGTCTTTATTATCATTTATCATCACTAGGCCATTGAGCTATAAGTATAGCTAAATGCTATAAATAGTAACAGATGTAAGAAAGTCGGATCTCTGAGTAATCCGACACTCTGAGTACTCCGACCTAGTTTTACGGTCCCAATGGATGTCGGATTAGACAGAGTACAATGTATTGGAACCGACTTGTTCGAATAAAGAGATTTTTGTGTTGCCTACCCTTGTCCGTTTTTAATGACGACATAGTTTCTGTCTCTACTGCTCGCTTTTCTAAATCTAATACACGTTTCTCGTTCCCATACTGACATAGACATATGAATCTTCTCCACGTCTTGTGATGCTGTAAGATAACATAGGCCTTCATTTACTACAATAACATATATTTTTTTATGAATAGCTTTAACGCAGCAAAACTATATTGTACTAATTACTATGCAGATTGTTTATGCACAATACAAAATATGTATGTTAGGTCTTGTTTAAGTGAATTCGAACAATCTGATTCTATAACACTTTGATCCAGGACAAATTCTTATATTGTTTAGATGAGGGTTATGGTACTATGTATAAAATCTATCCTATCAATGTTTGTGTCAAGTATGTGGAAGTAAGTGTATATCATACGGAATGAAGTTTCTATGGTGTACGGTATTATCCCATTCGTCCATAAATAACTGGTCGGTCGAATAGCTTTTCTTTTTTCTCTCCTACAAATATAACAGAACAATGCTAAACAATTTTGCTTCGATTCAAGACGTCAAGAGAAAGCGAGAACAAGATCTAGGCATAAGCATTAGCATCTTCACCTTTCTTGTATCATGGACTGCAGTGATTTGATTGGAAGGTACACTAGCAAATGCAGCTAATCAGCGCTGTCGCAACGCAAAAGTCAGTAAATATTATAGTTTATTGTTAACAGTCGCAAGCATCCGAATTCAATTAAATCGCTGCTAAAACTTCTGTGACACCAGAAAGGTGGCAATTGCAGTCATAAAGACACAGTTTGTAATAGCTTAACACTGTGAAGAGGTAGCATTAGAAATTTGAAGTATTTGGACTATCGGTAGATGAGATGAGGAATAGGACAGTCTCGCCCACTTATCTCAAGACAAGCTCAAGCTTTGGCAAATATTGAGACGATCATTCCACTGGGTGAAAACCAATTTAACGCTAATATTACATGGATGATCATTATCTAAAAAAAATAAATTCGAGATACACTGGCTAGTATTGAACTATATCAATCATTTGAAACAAAAAGAAAACTTACGAAGATTCGTGAAATAATTTATATTGTTCTTTAGTTAAACACATATCCAGACCTTCAATTCTATGTCCTTTGGGGTCTACTTCCTTGGCTCTCCTTGCATACGCTGAAATAATGCAATTAACAGTAGTACTAAAAAGATGATTATGATCATGATCATGATCATGACAAAGGCTGCGATGATGACGGCGAATATATATGCTGACTAGATAATGATGATAATGATGACGGCAACGGTTATGATGATGATGACGGCTATGATGATGATGATGATGATTTTTATCCAGATGGTTAAATGAAATAACAGTCATAGAAGAGATAAACATACAATATTACAAAAGAAACAAATAAAATACCTACAATTATAGCCACCGTATGCAACTACTATATCAGTATCAAGAGTAGTATCTTCAGAATTGTAACGATCTTTCAGGGCTTGCAGATCAGTGGGATTCACCGTTAGGTTTACTGAGCCCAGTAAATTTCCAAGAGAAGTGGTGTCAGGATGGGCGATGGTCAGCTGTTTACTCTCTGTTTTATGAATGGTTGAATCTAAAGTTGTACGGGTTTCATGAGTTACAGAACTGTGATGTAGGAAACCTAGTTTTGATTTGTCTGTCTGTGAAGCAATGGTGTCAGGTACAGTTAATGCTCTGTTGCGGTCGGTTTTAGCTACTTGGGGTGTTGCAGTAGGATGACGAAGCATTGATACAGGTGGGGCAGCTTGTTGTCGCACAGTCTGAACTCTTTCCTGGGCAAAGGCTTTTTCAAATACTTGTGGCTGTGGTGCTGGAAATTGAAGCTGATTGTGTTGTTGTTGTTGGTGGTGGTGTTGTAACTGTTGTTGGAATCTGGGTGCCGGCAGTTGTCGTAATGGCTGCTGTTGTTGCTGATGAAAGAATTGTTGTTGTTGCTGCTGGTGTTTAAACTGTGGTGGTGGAACGAGAGGTTTTCTTATGACTGGGTGATGTTGGTTTGTTGTGGGCTGTATTGGCCTGCGTAATACTTGATGAGGATTGCCGGGAACAGTTCCTCTTGGATGCTGAATGTACATCATACTCTGGCGTTTCTGACGACTGTGAACTAATTTCGATACCTCTTCAACAGTATTCTGGAAATAAATATATTTTGAGAATCATTTATCAGATTCCTTAAAACTGTGTTTGTTAAATTGGAATTTGTTTGTAGGCTCACAACTTAAAACATAATTTAATACAAAATTTATTTATTTCGTACACAAAGTAGGATAGAACAAACTAATATGTACAATAATTTACAATTTGCCTGTTACTCAAAACTCAAGACAAGTTCTCATTTTGGCAAACAAAGTTTGAGGTTTTTCTTTTGAATGTACGCAGATCATTGGTAAAAACTGGGTGTACTAAAAAGTTGAGTTGATCCAAACCCAAATCAGCCATCAATTCAACCACAAATGAACTAACAAAAAAAGTTTATGACTTTCTCGATCCATCATTAATGATTTTATATCTATATGTACAAAAATATTATTGTTTAGCTAGTTTAAATATCATCTTCTAACCCCTGCCCAGGGCAATACTCACTGGTACAAACCATTTATTGTTTTTGAAGAGTACTTCAGACCAAATCATTAAAATACATAACAAAAAATGACACACGTCGTTTTGCATATATAAATATTATACTTTTTATTCTTTACGTGTCAAATTTTACTTTTATTTCCAAAATTTGATTAAGTGTCTCATAATATTCAATAAATATAAACGATTTAACGAAAGATCATCGGGCATTTGAGACGTTTGTTGAAATCAACTCTCATATATTTCGAAAACTGTAAAAAAATCGTAATATTACCCTCCTTTAGTTCGAAAAAAAAAATATTCCTTTGTAAATGTCTTCTAAAATGTAAAAATACAGTCCATGTTTTTCAAATCAAAAACAAATTTGTTCCTCTGCAAACAATTTATTTTATGACATGACATCGAAAAACATCTAAAATGTCGAAATGACGTACTGGTACATTAAATTGTTAAATTTCGAAATATTATGTAAATTCTTTAATGTCGAAGTAGCACCTACTGATTGACATGGAATTTTATACGTCGAAATATCACCTGTAATGTCTATTACTGCCTCTCTTACGCCAAATCCAATCATGGTCATCTCTTACTTCCAGATTTCAAAATAAATGTCAAATGCAACTATTTTTCAGTGATAAAATTCGGTCCCAAATCCACTTATCATTTTTTTACTATAAAATATGCTAGTTTGCCTCAGTTTATGCTATTTTCTGACACTTTATAACATTTTGCGTCATTTTTCATCCAATCAAGGTGTCATATTGCACAAAAGAGACATCAAATAGTCATCTCATCTTGATATTATTGTCGAATAAACAGAATCAACACATGTTGCTTAAGGATGTTTTATGTTTTTTATTCAAAAATAAATTATTTGTGCAACTTAAAAATTTTTTAACCAAAAGTACAAATTATAAACTAATATGATCTGACGATTTTCGGCCACAAAAACTATGCTGTTAGCACATATTTAAAGATAGCTTCCTTTATTTTCATTTATGAAAATTAAAATGCTTATACTTTTATGAATAGAAAGTAGAGGTGTTCTAATGACTTGGAAAATACCAATTTGTCTCATATGTCCATTATTAATTTATAATTAGCTAAATTAGAAGAGAATTACCAACAGAATCCCAATGAGTGGCCGATTAAGAAAGGTCAAAAAGTCTGTTTCTCCAGAATGTACAATATTTATGATTGGTTAAAATCATTAATCATATGCAATGAGAACATAATGATATGATTAAGAATACATGATAATTCATAACACAAAGTAAGCAAATAATTTGATAAATTGGACACTAAAAAATAAGGAAACCTTTCTTTAAGCTGCGTTCGGGAGCCTACGTACTGTATGGAAAGGAACCATTCTAAACTGGTACAAATGAAGCAGACGCGGATTGCTGCAGTCGAAATTCAATGGTTGCTCACTAAAACAAGCAAGTATCAGACATTCCAGAGAGGGTAGCTGCAGATGTTAACAATTAATAGGAACGCATAGGAAGAACAGATTGCCCATCATGTTATGTCTAAAATTTTCAAGTATAACTTTAAAACGTTTTCATTCGGAAGTATGTGTCAGAAAGCACCAAATCAATACTGCCTATGCCAGTTAAAATACAAAGGTGCCCACTAAAACAAGCGACTGTCAGACATTCCATTCCTCATTTTTGTAGGCCTGCCCCACCCCTCCTACAGGCTGACGCCGCCACCGCTGCTACCAGAGAACATATTCAGGCTATCTGAAAATGGAGCAAAGTGGTTAAGTGTAATCGGGTGTTTAAACATGGATTAAAATGTACGTACCTGGGTCATGGTAATTACCGTATTCTCTGGATCAGAGTTTGACTTTAAACACTGTGCACTTTGTGACAGCAGTATGATATAAACAAGAGTCACTAAGCATGCTTTCAACATAATCTGGGAATATCCTGTCATTTTGACAAAGTTGGTATTGTACAGGTTAATCGTGTTTTCCCCGAGGAAACTGCTACTAATCCCTTGCAGAAATTCGATTCAAGACACTGACTTAAATACTTTCTTTCAATAAAAACCAATAATATCAAATCTAGTTACTTTTAGTATTTAAAATTCCCATTATTTTATAAAATAAACTGTTACACCAATTCAACTCCAAAACAATTCCTGTTAATCACTTTGTTTTCTTCTTTATCCACTTGGTTTTACGATGTTGCTTTACTGCGACTGTTGGAGACTTAAAGGTAATTAAACTTCTCCAACGAATCACCAGCAAATCAAGTGAGAAACGTTCATCTTGATATCAATAAAATCGACTTTAAATATCCTTATCAATCATTGATCAATCACTTTGTATATTTTTTAAAACAGGCCATTTATTACCATTATTAGTGTATATCATTTATTAAAACCCTTGTATTAACACACTGAATTCACACCAACTATAAACTTTTGTTTAAAGTCACGGAAAGGCCCCAAGGCATCTACTGTCTATTTCACCATTTCAAAATGCCTTCAATTTTATTTTTAAACAATGTAATAAATTAACTTGTTGCAATTTTTAAGTAAAATACCCATTTAACGTGTCGAAATTTCCTTCTTGTTTCTTGTTTAAATTAATACATTTGCTTGTCTGAAACAATTAATGGGAAAGTCAAAATAAAATTCTTGTAAAAGGTCTTATTTTTGAAGTGAAAAAGAAGTTGTCTAAATGATCAAAATTCTGCTGCTTCTAGCAGCCTTCAGATCCCCGATCTCAAGGGGCTTTGAGCCTTCAGGCCTCGCGCTTCCGAAAGATACCTCATCCTCTCAAATTTTTTTTTATTTAATTCCGATCTGATGTATAATCTGTTGAATATAACAACAAGTTCTTCACCAGACCATGAAAGAACACATCTTTTATTTAGCTTGACAGGTTGGTTATCCTACTACCACCGCAGCAGTTTCAACCAAATTGGTCGAGGTCCAACTTTTATCGTACTGACCAGCTCACAAAGCTTCTATAAAATCCATAATCGAAACATTGTCAATTGCATACTTTTGAGATCAGACCAATCAACACAAGATTAACATGTTCCATTCATGTTGGGTGAAAGCTTCTACGGTGTCATTTAGCTGATTTAGAAGCACATTCTCTAAACAATAACTCTAAACTGGTTTCATTTTTTTCTTATTTAATCATTCAAGATCTCAATCATAAAAATCAAATGATGGCTTTGATAGTTATATATGTCTGTTTTTCTTCTTCCTTTTTACCTAAATGTTTTGTTTTAGATAGTGATTTGGATAAGGTTTTTAGTGTCAACCAAGTTAGTTTTCTTTTGTAAATTTATGGTTATATAAGTTGGCAATTGGCATACCTTTACGATCTGAAGCCATATTCTAGAAAACTTCACCATTAAAATCATGGTTAGTAATCATCATAAAAATCAATTTAATGACATGAGAAGACATGCTTTCACTGTTTATTTCATATGATAATTTCACAGCAATGCAATGTCAAGCTTCAGAAGGAAACACAGGCTAAAACAGCTTAGTTTTCTGAAGATATCTGTTTGCTAAACCTCAGTTGGAATCTAGGCTGAAACCTTCCAGTTGTCTGATGATACTTAAATATTCCAGTTATCTGAAGGTCTCTTCCTTTAAAACTTCATAAGGAACACAGAATGAAAAACTCACCAAACTTCAGAGAGGACACAGGCCGAAAAATAAGCAGGGAAATTGGCTGAAATAACCCAGGTGTCTATACAGGAAATATATACATGTATAACAAAAAATTAGGTTTATCCAATAAATATATATAATATAGAAACATGTTTAACCAGCTGATATAAATGATTTTTGGTGTCAGTAACACTTTTCAAAATAAAAATCAGACTTCAGAATGAACTACATAGAAAGTAAAGAAATATATACTTGATTAAGGAGACAATATTGTTAATTTGATAAACATTTTCAAGATCAATGGAACAAAGTAAAAAGAATGTCTCACAATTTGAATGAAATTAGCCATTACACTATATTTAAATTTTGGTCATTTGGACCCAAATCAACCCCCAAAATAGCATAAATGTCCCTTTAACATTACTACCAATTGTCCAGCTTCTCCTAGAAGTATGGCTTTATCACACAAATATAATCCTACCACAGTTTTTATGTAGAGATTAGGATATCGATAATGGATAAATATGATATTTAAAAAAGTATCAATGTTGAAATAAATCCATCCATCAACAGATAAAAGAAAAAAAGAAACAAAATGATTGAATTTACAAGACCAAATGTCTGTTAATTGATGTTTTTCAGTACCCAAAAACCTATTTGGATGGATGGATTCTTTTAATCATTTCTAACTTAATTAGAACAAAGAGTTCCTATTTTCAAAATAACAGCAAAACATCAGTTTCTAGCACTCATTTCATCAATGTTTAGCTTTAACATGTCTGAACATGGTGTCAGGATTATCAAAGCATAATGAACAAGTATAACATTCCAATGGTGTAGCATTAACATGTCTTTCTCTGTGGTTCTCAATAGCATTCATTTTCCTATACAATTTTAAACATACATCACATTTATATGGTTTTCCTGAATGTTTCTTGTCAAAATGTTTATCTAAAGAGATTTTTAATTGAAATGTTTCTTCACAAACTTCACATTTGTGAGGTCGTTCTCCGTGAAAGACTTTTCTATGTACATGAAGAGGTATAGAACTAGGAAAAATTTCGCCACATACATCACAAATATGGTCTTTTCCTATAGAAAACTGGTTTGGAATTAGATGACTATATATAGTAACACTACCAGGAGTATTGGATTTATTTTCAACTTCTAATTCAGATGTTTCTAATAAGTTATTATTCTGTAGATTAACATGATACAGGTCCTCTTTCTTGCCATTCACAGCACCAAGCTGTTGCCCAATGTGCATCTTCATATGTACTTCTAAAGTACATGATTGTGAAAAGACTTGTTTACAATAGAAACATTCATATGTGTCTTCCAGAGAATGCATTAATAAGATATGATTCTGTAGTTCTATATGGTTAGGAAATATCTGATAACAGGTGTTACAAGTATGAGAATATGTGTCCTGAATTTTTAAATCTGGTTTAAAAGTGCCATGTAGTAAACTAACTAGTCGTTTTTTAGACTGTTCACACTTCTGTGGTTCGATAACAACTGTTTGTTTACTGGATGATGATGGTACTCCTCCCCAATGTTTTTCTATATGTTCCGATAGCAGATGACTTGAACAAAGATTCAAGCCACAAACACCACAGGTATATGCCTGCTTTATTCTTGTATGTTCTTGTACATGGGTCTTTATATCAGTAGCTCTAAAACAGACCAAATAAATCACAATCATGTTTAAATCTCTTTAAATCCTGCATCCAAGAAAACCTTTTTTTAATGCCTTTCAATCTGATTCCATTACTGCAGACATAATGTCTACTGGAAATGAAAAAGTGTATATCATATTTGATATATATATATATATATAAGGGCACCACAACCACTATAATAAATATATATTTCTGATCGTTTTGGGGTGAGAGTTGGACACATCTTCTTCAAAAAAAAAATCTGTTATGGTTGTGAACTCTTTTAAAACCATTATGGCTAGCTGGTAACTCACCTAAAAACTATATCGTAAAATAGAAAACTAAATCCCCACTGACCTGATAAATATCTGTGAACAGACATTACATTTGTATACTTGGTTTGAATTATGTTCCCTTTTAATATGTTTATTTAATTTACATAATTCATCATATGATTGAGGACAATGGCCACATTTAAATAACAATTGTAGGCCTTGGTGTTCATGTATCTCTTTCTTACTATCAAAATACTTCCCACAAAACACACATTTTAAACCTTTTCTTCTTAGATTCTGTAATAAATAAATATCAACCTGGGACATTAGGTAATAGGAGTTCAGGATGTCTATTGCAATCATTTTATGTTTACCACATCAATTTTGTCAGAATAAGGATTTTGATTGTCAGTTGTATCATTATCATAAGAATATTGCAATACATCAAAATCAAATTACTCTAACTAACACTAATGTTATCATTATGCAGAACATTTATATTTAGACAAGCTCAGAGCATAAAAAAGACTATACTTACATCATGGATAGGTTTATGTGTAAATAAGGCAATTCCAGCAACTAAGTCTTCTGGTTGGTTACTCTCTATATGTACATCATCAATCTCAGGCATCATAATACTAGGTACAGCTGTTTTTATAAGAGTAGGACGATACCGATAAATATGAGGAGCTAATTTAGATTTGATATCTTCTATATAATCACTAGGTTTAAAGTGTTTACCACACACATATCGTTTCTTTAACGTGTTTACTGGCATGTCTTCTGTTACATATTCATTTCCAATGACTCTGATCCACATAGATCTTAATGTAGCATCATTAGGTAGTTTATGGAAGGGGACACCCAATGATATAGCCAGTAAATCATTATCACAGCCTGGTACACAACACATCTTCTTACATACTTTTTCTTCATACATCTCCATTTCCTGAAATAATTAAAATATCATCGATTAATGAATGAATTTGTCAATTATGTCTGTTTTGCCATGACTTTTGTCTGTTTCTTCAACAAAAATTAAAATCCAAAGAATCTACATCTGTAATGAATGGACACTTTTCCTCCTGTAGGCATTTCAAGTGAACAAGCTTGTGACCAATTTTGGACTGAAAAGAAAACTTTTGGGTTTGGTGGAGATAATCTTCAATCAAACAAAGACAATGTTAGAATCTCGTAGCTAGTCTATTATTTCCTTGTAGCCCATGAATGGAGGATGACATTTTTTTTTAGGTCATACAAAGAATACTAGTCTCGGTAAAGTGGTTCCACGGTAGGCCTACTCACAAGAAAAAAGTATGTCAACCTAGATTCATGAAACTGACCATTACTATTTGATTCTTAGGAGATCATTTTTATTTACAACAAGCTTTTTGATGAAGACAGCGATGAGGAAGGAACATTAAAAAAAAAAGATTTTAGGATACAGGAATGATAGGAACGAGTCGTTTCGTTACCTATTAAAGACGCTCCACTTCAACGTTTCACTTCAACAGTCCGAAACGTTCTATAGAAATTTTTTCTTATGTCTCCTCATATGAATGAAATCTGAATGAAGTTTGGAGCAACCGGTACCATTAAATCCTTTTACCGGTAAGTTGTTTATTAGCCGTCGAAGGGAGACAACCACTAGATGTAGATCCACAGATCTTAGTTGAATATCAGAAATAATTAAAACGTGTATTTTATTTCTCACCTTCTCACATTTAATGATTTTTGAGGGATATTTGATAATTGATCAAATTATTTTTAAGCTGCCAGCCCTCTTTAAACTGTGTTCATCTACTCTCCTTATTGTTGTAAGCTACCCACTAACCTAAACTTCTTAAGTGTCTATGTGGGCTACAGGCTGTGCATATGAGTCCTCAACATTTGACATTGAAAATCATTGTTAAAATAACCGAACAGGTATTATTTCCCTCATTGTACACTGCATGGGATTGCTCATCTTCATTATTCTGATAAGGTGTACAGAAAGCAGGACTAACTAAATTCAAAGGGGGCAGATTTGGCATTCGTTTGACCAATCGTACCTTTGTCTCAGAAAGAGGAACTTCTTTAGCAAAGTTAACGGTGTTCAGAGATCACTGTCAAAATGCCTTCAAATCCATGTGTGTCTATGTTTTAATGTTAAAATGATGACTCATCTTTTCTCAAAAGTTAAATTTGCATGGAATAAGCGGTTTTATGGCAGTTCTGGTATTTCTGAAGACTAAGCTTATATACAGTGGTGTAACCTATTTTCGTGGATATAAGGATTCAACACCGAATTTCGTCAAAGTTAAAAAAACGGAAAATTTTTTTTATGTCTTAGATGTTTCCTCAGATATTCTACAAAATAATACAAATTGGTTTGTTTCGATTTTCTTTATTAATCCTTCACTTTGACCCATATTTCATGAGCAACCAACTCGGTAACGGCGGCAGAATGCGTCACCTATTTTCGTGTACAATGATCTATAAATAAGTCTATAAAAACACGTTGTATGGATACCGGGTGCCGGGTGGTATAATTAACTTCTCTTAGTATTTATCTTTAATATCAATTCATTATAACTAGTGACAATTCCTTCAAAGAACCACGATTTTAAAATAAAATAGTGACTGACAAAATAAGATACGTAGCGTGATTTATTGCTAAAAGTCACTGAAATAACATAAGAATATGGTCCACTTTGTGTTCCATAGAAATTTTCTGCTGACACGGAATCCGCTAGTTGATCACGTGACTTCATTCGTTGGACTACATTCTAGCAGACGACACTTGGAATTCCGATTACCGCTTGGGATTATAAGGAAATTCGGCCAATAAAAAATGGTGACGTTTGGTAATAACTGAAATCCGCCATTTTGTATTTGTCAAAGTATACATTAATACATTTTACCTTGCTTGAAACTACTGGATTCATTCTACTAGCTGATATTGTAGAGAAAACCCATGTTTATCAAAACAAACTAATGCGGAGGTCACGCAAGGTCGCTCATGTAAATTATTAATCCTTTCCGGAA